AGAGATGCTTAATCGAGTAATCGAATCCAAATTCCGTCGGCTTTTGAAATTCGACATGGTCGCAGTTCTTCGGGAACTATTACGTCAGAACGAGTGCTCTCTAGCTCTCAAGGTTCGTTTTCTCTCTATCTCTTTCTCTCGATCGTGTTTTTGTTGCTTTCTATCTCAATTTTGGAATTGTTTTTAGGTCTTTGAAGAGGTTCGAAAGGAGTATTGGTACAAGCCTCAGGTGAGAATGTACGCTGATATGATCACAGTAATGGCGGATAATAGTTTGATCGAAGAGGTTAACTATCTTTACTCTGCAATGAAATCAGAAAAGGGTTTAGTGGCTGACATTGAAAGCTTCAACACTCTCTTGGTGATTCTTCTGAATCATAAGCTCTTTGATCTTGTCATGGACTGCTATGCCTTAATGCAATCCATTGGATATGAGCCTGATAGGTCTTCCTTTAGAATTCTAGTCCAAGGTCTTGAATCCAATGGCGAAATGGGGTTTTCGGCAATTGTTAGGCAAGATGCTCATGAGTATTATGGTGAATCGCTTGAGTTTATCGACGAAAATGAAGAAATCTCTAGTGAGACCGGTTTGTTGATCTGATGATGGAGCAAAAAAAAAAAGTTCAGAAATCGAGGCTTAGTAGATCGAGGTTTGATCACACTGTATACTTATCTCTTCGAAGTAGACCCATTTTGGCGGTTTGGTATCGGTTAGATGATCCTCAATTCTTAGTAGCTCGAGGTTTGATCACACTGTATACTTATCTCTTCGAAGTAGAACCATTTTGGCTGTTTTGGTATCGGTTAGATGATCCTCGATTCTTACATCTAAAGTCAAGCAAATCATTTTATTATGTAGGCTTTATAACATAGGAGTGTACGATTTTGGATTGCAACAGAGAATATATACTTATCTGTTCCAAGGCACGCAAGTCTATGGAGATCATTAACAGCTACAAGTCCATAACTACTTGTTGATGTTAAAAGTACATTTTGAGTATTCAAATAATTAAACCACAACTTCATCGAAACCCGACTATTACTTAAATTTTCAACATTGTGGAATTTCTTTGAACTTTGAAGATTGTTGATTTGTGAGAAGTTTTTATTTTTTTTTAAGGATCAAGAGATCCAGACAAACTCTACCATACAAATATAGGGATTTCATTCAAAACGAAGAAAATTTACAAGTTTGTTGTATATATATGTTCATACTTCCAAGCATATGGAATTTGCAAGAGACTCAAAGTGTTACTTAAAAACGACGTCGTTGTTCAACTAAAAAATTGGCTTCACCTTTTTAATCGCGAATCTTTTCCATTTTCGCCAGTGGCTGAACAAAAATGGAGGCTTCACGGAGCGACG